ACTGCTGAGATACCAAGCAACACAAGAGGCCAAAGCCTCCCAATTCTTGTCTCAATTCCCCCCAAACCACAAATACCTTACAACAGTTTCAAAGCACACATTTCCACGCTGTTGACAAGAGGAGTTGCAAGTCTGAAAAGACTAGTTGTCCACTTGGCATAGGATTCAACCTTAGATACATGAAGAGCTGGATAAGAGAAAGACTATTCTGAAAACAATTTTTAGTTTTTTACATGAGTTTCATAGAAGCCGCTCTGAATATTTATGGGTCAAAGTGGAGTAGACACTACAGTATTTGTAATTCAGGATAACCACATTGATTTGCTGCTATGGATATCAAGAAGTGCAGCCCTAAAAGGTTTTTTAAACAATACACAAAAAAGTGTGCTACAATAACAGAACTTCTAGGGATGCCAAGCTTTATATTTTAGTGTTTCTTACAGCTGTTTTTAGCTCATGTTAAAATGATAAATGCATTCAGTCTTCAAAAGGAGTGCTGTCATTCAAAACTTAGCCATTTTGGAGATAATGCAACACACTGGTGAATTTTCTCCCTCATTTGCTGCAAATCTTCTGATATCGGTATATTTTCTTTTTTTTTTACAATTTGGCTCAAATGCAGATGCAAGTCATTATGGAAAATAAAGGATTTATTATAAAAGCAAAATTCTTATTTCTTCAATTGCCAAGCCCATTTGTAATTTTTTAACATGGCTTCCTAAAATTAGGAAAGAAAAACAGAAATCAAGAGGACTATGAGAACAGTAATGGTATTTTCTAAGTATATTTAATATGAACTTGTCATTAAAATGAATTTTTTAAAATGGTTAAAAAACCCCGCATGCATAATTCTGGTTTATTTTACACACTATTTGGATCTAGTAGTTTTTAAAGTTACCCATGTATGGTTTGTTTTTGCTAATTACACATCTAACAGATGTATAGAAAAATAATTAATTTTTACATGTCTCAGCTTTTTTTTAAAAAAACCAGAAACTAAAACAACCCCCTGAAAAATAGAGAAAGATACTCAAATGAAGTACAATTCCTTGAATTATGTAACTGTTTTCTTTTGCACAAAGGGCATCACATTGCTATCCTTACTATCAATTTCTGCAATGTCACAAGACAGAAAACATCTGCTGAAAAGATCCTTTCAAAAAGAAAAAAATACACAAAAGACTCTCCCCAGGGACACTGTTTACTGCAGACAATTAAAATATTTCAATGGTAATACTGCTATTTTAATCAGAAAAAAATCTATACAATATTAATGTCCAATAATCACTAACAATAGGTACTTCCCCTATTAACAACTTCAAGATAGAGCTGTATATGCCATTTCACCAATGAAAAAGGTTCTGAGAAGGAATTTGTTCTTTTTGGATCAGAGAAAAAGAATAAGAAAAAACACCATTAGTGATAACAGTCTTCACCAGCACATTTACAAGAAATGCTTTGTCCCTGTGTGACTACAGGAAGTAATTCCCTTTCTTTTCAAGAAAGGTTAGGTTTTATTTGGGATTTCTAACATGACAATACTTTAATGCAAACTTCCCAGGAGAAACAATAAAGAGGTATTAGTAGGAGAGAACTGAAGGAAGACCGCCACTGAATGTTTTGATAGTGATGCCTCTAGTCTGAAATCCAACATCTTGAGAAGTTCAGGTTAGAAGAAAAATATTTTGGCGCACAGCAGCCAGTTCAGAATAAACTGTATAAGGGTTCAGCAGCTGACATTATTAATTCAGAAAACTTCTCAGCTTAAGCAGCCACGTACATCATACAGCTGCTTTCTTCTCACATAGGCAGTTTGCTCTGTTGTACAACAGCTAGTAGTTCCTTGAAAAACTTTTCTTTTTAAGACAAGTGGTGCTAGGGAAAAATCATTCTTCTTCAAACTAGAAAAAAGAGGGAAAAAAAGAAAAAAGAAGCACCATTTCCACCTAATCCATGATATAATCTATTGCACTGGAGACATGTACATTACAAAAAGAGATATAAACATTAAGAATAGAATCCAATAAACATTTATTTTTCCTATTCTCCAGCTCAAAAAGCAGTTTGTACTCTAACAACAGTTTCAAAAGAAATCACTGCCATCTTTGAGAGACACAGCACAAAAATCATCCTCAAGCAGGCTAAATTTGGAAAACATCTTTGAGCAGAAAATAACTTTATAGTCCAACACTAATTTCATAAGCAACCACCCTCCCAGCAGGCACTGTAGGACGTTTTAGTAAAGAAAAACAAAGAAAATAACAGCAAATTTGGGAGGGTGGGCATAAAGAGAATGCAGGGATTTTGTTTTATAGACTTTAGTAGGTAACAGGTCCCCTTGCTCCTTTCTCTACATCTAGGCAGTTCCTAAGTCTTTACAGAAGGAGGATTTAATCTCTTGGAACCAGTGTGAGAGAACAAGGCATTGGTGGTGGACAGAAGAAGATTGTTCTACAGCTAAAATTTTCCAAGCACCTTACACTGAATGGAATAAATACCAGTTTAGGACAGTTAATGCCAGACTCAATACAAAATCTCCACTTCTTTTGAGTAAGCCTCTGACTCTGTCTTTGTCGTGGTTTGACATGGAAAAAAATTTTCTCAGAAAGGAAGGGGGTCAAACCAATCAGTGGTTGGGGTTAGACACTGACACTTGGGCTGACCAATTGAAGGCTGGACACGTCTCTGAGAACACAGAGGGGTTAAAATCAGAAATCCCAGGGGAACTGGCTGTCTTGGTTCCAGTCATCAGAGAGTGCAGATTCTCCCCTGCTGGGCAGGGGAGGGGCAGCTCAGGTAGGCCAAAGAGTGGGTGGACTAGAACTGGCTCTGGCTCCCTGCAGATGGAAGGGTGGAGAAAAATCTGGGATGTTTGTGTTTCCCCCCAGAGTCTCTCTCTCTCGAGAAAGAGACAGTGATGGTGCTGACAGTACTCCAGCAGAGGAGGAAGGAGGGGAAAAAGGTGCCCAGTGTGGGAGCTGGAGCCTGGGCCGAGAGCCATCCAGGGAGTCAGGATTTTTAACCTACTTTCTTGGGAAATGAGGGCTTTGTAAAATATTACTCCTCCTCGGTTTGAAAGAGAAGAAGAGAGACAGCTTAGGACCTGAAAAGTTAGGAAAAGAAGATTGGGGGGGAGATGATGGAGTGGCTTTTGGCTGGACTTTTTCTTATTAGCCATAGACTGAACCAATTTCTCCTCCAAGAGAGAGAGACTGCATTTTAGGAGGATGCCTGGTGAGCCAAGAGACCTGCTTCAGCAGCTGAGAAAAAGACAGGAGTGGAATGAACAGAGAAAAGTTGAGGAGGCTTGTGGTGATGCCCCCTGTCTTCAGAGAAGAAGAGAAGATCTCTGTTCTTGGACCCTCAGCCCCAGGGGAAAATGGTGGGGGAATGCAGTCTCAAAAATGAAAACTGAAAAATGAACTATTGTTTTTTCCCCCTCTTTGCAAAGCATCCTTGAAAGGAAAAATCCTAAGAGAAGTCTGTCCATGGAGCAGTCTGTCCATGTACCGTGGTGAGGGCACTGTGCATGAAAAGGAGAGTTGTCACCATGGCAGATTTACTCTGGGCGGTGCCATGTATGACATGAAAACACAAGAAGTGGCAGCTGTGTTTCTTGGAGGATCTATGGCACAGGAGGGACTCCCCTTTCTCTCAATGGACTGAGTATCGATTATTGGAAGGGTGGGAACTTGACTGGGGTCCAGGTTGTGTCTCACTGTGGTTTGATGGAATGGCTGAGGGGAGGGGAATGTTTTGGAAGGTTTTCATTTTGGATTTAGTGTGTGGTTCTTTTTTTTTTTATTTTTTTTCCTTTTATAGTAGTAGTAGTTTAATAAAGTTTCTCCCTTGTAATTAAGCTTGGGCCTGCTCTGCTCTGTTCCTGATCGTATCTCACAGCAAATCATTTGCAGGGTTGCATTTTCATAGGGGCACTGGCATTGTGCCAGTGTCAAACCATGACAGTCTTCCACTGCAACAATGGAAGAGAATAATTCAGGTACATTTAATCTGACCTGCTTCAAATAGAGAATTTCTCATACTTCCCAGAGAAACTTTATCAAGATGCATGCATGTAAAGTAATCAGAACTGCAAGGGAGACACCAAAAGCTTTTCCTCTTCTGAAATGCAGTCAGCATTCTCAACTGCAGAGCTGATTATCATACGAAATTAAAATAAATAGAAGCACATAATTCCACCCCTTCCATGCAGCTGTGTCAGCTTTAGAATATACATTCTCATTGCAAACATGTCCACATCTTCTGATAGTTTCTATGGCTAGTGCTTACACTGCTATGAAAAAACTAGAATTTTTAATGACCTGAGGAAAAAAAAAAAATTCTAGTTCTTTTCCTTCCACTCCCCAAGAAAGACAGGGAACTTAAAACTAATGAACTAATATCCACAATAAAAAGGAACATTTAATACCCTAGAACAGAGCTTTAAATTTAGCATTTTATTCCTCTGATACCACAAACTACAGTAAGGAAAAAGCTTCTTCTTTTCCTTCAATCAATACAATCCCTTAATAATTCAAATTTCAAAACATTTACATAAAATATTAGCATTATGTATTTTTAATTGATAAACTGAGCCAGAAAGGTAATCAGTTTTCAATTACTTGTGGCAAGTAGATAGGGTGATAGTGCACAAACTAATAACTGACAGTAGTCACCTAATGAACAGATTTCATGCCTTATGGAAGTAATGAGTTTGTGGGTTCCATTTTTAATAGCCACTTGCAATCATAAATATGTATTTCCTCTTCTGCTTCATGAAGAAGTTTACTATATATAACCTGAGATGTGCTCACCACAAAGCCATCCAGCATAACTTCTTTTTGCAAGGACCATACACTGTTTTTTATGTTATGGAATGCATTAGTGTAGTTGCAGGTGTAACAAGAGTGTTAACGGACTTGTCACAGCAAGAGTGTTAACTGGTGCATCACAGTAGTTTTATACCCCTGTAAACAGGTTCTGAATAATATCATACTTACAACATCAAACTTCTGTGTGATGTTCCCCTGGACATCAAGTAAATAAACTTTGCCATAATGTGTTCCCAGTGCCAAAAACTGTGAAAGAAAGAGATCGATTACATAAACACACCACAAGAAATACTACAATGCTAAATGAACTCCAGGATTAGCAACACCGGGAAAAGAAAAAAAGCCCACCACTTTCTATAGAGAAAGGTTATTTTAACTGTACCCAAAGAATAAAACAGGGCTTTAAACCCATATTACTGTGATAGTGCAAGTTAGCTGTCAGAATGAGTCATGAGGACCCTCATCCACTGACAACTAATGGCGCGTCTGCAGTCTGTATACACCAGCTGATGGACTGTGGCAGCAAATTAAAAATGCAGCGTGAGAGCAAGAAGCAACAGAGATCTGAAGGAGTTCCTAGATCCTTTCTGCAGCTTTGTTTCAATCCTAATGTTTCCTTTGGGCTTTATTTTTAATTCTCCTTCATTATTAAAATAAAAACAAGGTGTTCAAACACAGAAAAAGGCCGACTGAAAGCCACTGGTAAAATACAGTTGAATTATAGAAGGTCTATGATAGCGCATTTAAGCACACAGATAACTCCTGGGTTTGCTTTCCTTCACATAGGAACATTCCTAAATAGAATACTCCCAAGACAAATACATTTCCTTGGAAATCTCAGGAGTTTCATTCTAAAAAATAATGGCAAAATAAAAAAATCTCAACATAAATCCATACTATCACAAACTTATTTTGATACAAACAAGAAGGAAATTGGTTCTGAGAGATCTGCTGTTAATTGAACTCCGTGAACTACACCTAAACAGAAAAGATAGAATTTCAGTACTACTTAATTTATGACAGAGGTTTCTTTTATTTGCCCCTTCCCCCACCCTCCCACTTTCAGCATTACTGAAATAGTCTAGGCTACTCAATTCTCTGTATTTCACTGCATGTGAGCATGCTTCATTGCAACCTATAATGAAATGCTCAAATTTACAGGCACTGCTAAGCGTGTCAGTCAGGCAGCACAATCTTTAAAAAATAACCTTACAGAAAGTCAAGGTTTAAAAGGATTTCTCAAAATGGAATTGCTTAAAATGAAATTTCTGTTCAGGCACTTAAAATATGAAGCTACATTAAAAGGAGGCAAGAAAGGGAAAGAGGGGTTCATTAGAAATTCATTCCCTGCAATGCCTTTCACTCCTGCAAGGTTGCCTTTTTTCAGGAAGAAAAAAGTCCCCTGGGTAAAAAAATCAATACTGGTTAATAAAACATCAGGTGTGCAGACATAACTAGGTATGACTATTCCACTGCACAGGCCTGCTTGAATGCACCAGGTGCCATGACGATTAGTCATCCAGTGCAGACAGCAAGCCTGGTGAAAATATGATGCTTTAGCAGCAAAAATGAAAAAAAAAAAAAAAAATCTGGGGGGAAATTAGTCTGAATGCAGAAGCCAGATCTCAGAATTCCCATCAAAGTTAAACTGCTTTAGTCAGAGTCGTATTTTACATATTACTGTATAATTTTTCTAATGATAGCATTTAGCAGGGCTTTTCCTGTTTGTTCAGGGAAAAAAGTCCCCAAAAAAACAACCAGAATGAAACAGAAATACCATTGCAAAACCTACAACCCAGCTCCTTTCTCTGTTGCAAGAGACCTATTCCTAAAAGACTGCAGTACCTGGCTTCTAACAATATTGATTCTTCTCATAAGTAGTGTATCTAGTTTGCTGGAAAACTGAAAGTGCTGGGATACTTCAGCAGTTTTCCTGTATTGTCACGCTTTGTGACACTATAGCAAAAGCTGTATCTGTGCACATCCTTATAGAAAAATCCTGTTAAACTCTTGGCTTTTAAAATTTACCTGAGATGCAGGAATAAAAGGTAACAGAAACAGGCCACAGACAAAGAGGAAATGCTTGCCAATTTTCCGAATATCAGTGTAATTCTACGTTGTCAAAAACATTTTAAAAAGACTTATTGTTTTCATTCACACAGTTAAAATACAGGCTTCATCTTAAGAGCCTCTTGAGCCATAGCAACAGTCCTCAGAGGAAAAGAAACACAGCACAAGTCAATCTAAAAATATAGTCAAATAATAAAGATAGATCCCTCAACAATAACTGTTAAGGAGATATTACTAGCCATGAAAAATTATACATTCAGAAAGTAGCTACTATGTTTTACATACTAGTAGTTGACAAATTCTTAATTCACACTTTCAGATGCACTTCAGAATGCCTCAATATTCTAAAATGTTTTCAGTATGTATAAAAGAGCAGAAAACTCATAAAACACAAAAGCAATTGTTTAAGTCACTAAAGAAGCATATGAAATTTATCCCTTTTAAGAACAAAATATTAATTATTTAAAAAATTTGTTTACTTTGCATCATCTATTATTTTATTCTTATCATCCCTATGGTACATCAAAATCTCTAGCATGTGCAGTTCCTCTCTGTTTTTAACATACTGAATCAGGGAAGGGGGACAGGAAGTGTTAGTATGACACCCCCCCAAAAGTAAAGCCTAAGCAAACAAAAAATACATTCATTACTTTCTTCTATACTGTATTAACATGTCTTCCAAGCCAAATATATGCTAAGCTCCTGGCATGATCAAATTGGTCTTTACTGACATGGTTGTACAAATAAGTACAGTATATACCAACTTCCTTTCTGAATAAATAAAACTTAGGACTGTATTCTAATTGCAGTTCTTAATACTGCCGATAATTAAATCTGAGTAGACATTTTTCTATTAGCCTATGTAAACATCTAACAAATCACTGCATCTTGAATTCTCACCTCATTTCCTCATTGAGAAAATGTGTTTCCCACTGAAAAAAATGCTTGATACAAACAAGAAGGAAATTGATTCTGAGAGATCTGTTGTTAATTGAACCATGCAAACTACTGGTTTTATCACTGAGAAAATGTGGATTTCTCAATACAGTTTAATTGTGAATTTTGTTTACATTGCTGTTTGTTGCCTTGCAGTGCAACTCTAGATTTGGTATCACTTTTACACAGAAATATGCTGATGTATTATAAGCACAGACAAATATATAAAACCAAGCAGAAGTGCTATCTCAGTCACAAAGCCATATAATACCTTTTCATGCACTGTCATGCAGCTGGCTGCATCCTTCTGGAGAATTTCAGTCACTCCATTAGAAAGCCGTTCATACTTGAGCTTAGGTTCTTCTTCACTCTCATCTTCCTAAATTTTTAGGAGTGTAAGGAAAAGGAAGCAAGAGAGAAAAAACAACAAAAATACTTAGAAGTTCATTTTAGATAAAAACAAATTAAAAGATATCCCAAAACTATCACACAGCAACAGGCGAAGATGGATCACTGCGATCTCCTCAAAGCAGCCATTACAATCAAAAGCCAAACTTTCACCATTTAATCATCTGAAGGGGTTTGGCCTGTGCTTTTCTATTACTGGTTTTTCTTTTTACTCCAAATTCTGAGTGCAAAGTCTGTATAGCAGCATGTCAGTTTAGCTGTAGGAGGCACTTACTTGATATCTAAAAAGCAGGAAAAAATGTGCACGTGTACTTTGTTACCTAAAGTTAGTAATTTGCAATTTAAAAGTAAAATACAAAAAGGATGGATATGATAATGAATCATATATATAACATATATTAATCATATATAATGAATGATAAAATAAAGTGTGCCAGTGTAGCCACAATGAACTGAAAGCTGAAGCATGCACATTACAAGAAACTTCATGACCTTTACAAGATGCTGCACCTCTGTAGGAAGCATAGAGGCAAAATGCTGTGAACAAAAATAAGAAGAATCTGCTAGGAATAAGTTAATTGTAAAAAATCCATCAGTGGGCTTATGGTAAAAAAAAAAAAACTAACTATAAATATGTTTTCTGGGAAGAGAATCTGGGCACATTACATTCCTATTAATCACCTTTATCTACTGCATGTTAGGATCTTATTCTGGTAAATACTGAAGCGTTCCTCTCTTTTCAAGCATGTTAGGTATTATCACCCAATCACTACTTAAATGCAAGGAAAGATCATGGGGCAAAGAGTGAAGAGAAAGGAAACCAAGCTAAAAACAAAACAAAACAAACCACCAAGCAGTAAATTTATTGCTCAAGGAAGACCCAACATGCTTATCTCTTAGGAAGAGAAAATCCTAGTTGCAAAATAGCTCTTTGGTCATAGGCATCTATCTGTAACAGACGGTGTACAGAAGTACAATGCCAGAGAGATTCCACAGACTTCAGTAAGTCTCACTTAATCTTATACATACATGCACAGACATACACAAACACTTATATATCCCTTGGCCCTCACTGGGAAACAGTATATCTTCAATAATATTCTCCTACACTTGCTATTGACTGTAATGAATGTATCAACACTGAGTATGTTTCCCACATAAAACATACGTTTCATTCTTAAGCAACCAGAATTTACCAGTGCAGTGCTCTAGTTAAAGGAGTGCCTTGACCTCCCACCAACCACTGCCTTCCTATGACCTAAAAATGCACAGTGTCAGCCTACAGCAGAACTGTATTAGTGCAACACTTTCTTGTAGACATGATGCAAAAACTAAATTTGGAAGAGAGACATGTTAACAGGTTAATAAAATGCATTTTGTTTAAATTGTTTTTGCAGTACTAAAGCTAGCCTTTCCCAAGTTAAACAGTACGGCCATTTACTATGTATGTTACCATCATATATGGTAACGTACATAACCTCATACAAAACACAAAAAAGTAATATAAACCTATGTTTATAAACCAATAAATATAACCAATATAACCAATATAAACCAATATTTAGTCCGATGCTTATAGAAATATGCTGCAAAGAGAGTCTGTTTTAAAATGTTACATGAGAGTTTTATGACAGAATACAAATGAGATTAATACAGGGATGTCAGCAGTGCATGACGTAGGAGTATGAAGTAGGATGTCAAAATGTCCACTAAGAAACAATTTTATTCAGTAAATCTACCACTGAACAAAGTTGTTACCAGACAGAATGACAATGTCAAATTACAGGTCTGTATATAAATCAGTCAAATTCCTCATGCCTACAGATCGTTAATAAATGGCTGCAAGGTAGAGGGAGGAGGTAAAGTCAAAGTAAAAAGCATACATTTGATGGAAGGAGAGTGTAAGGAAGTATGTGTCCATTTTATAACAATTAATACATTACTGCATTTTATACATTGCTTACAAAGATTACACTTGAAATGCATGGGCAATCATTGAATAAATTCATAAAAGTAAAAATTGAACTCCAGTCATCTAGTTTTTATAAGATCCCACATGTTGCTGGGGCCAGGACATCCAATGTGCAACCAACATGAAAAGTTAATTCTAGTCTCTGGAGTAGTTTGCATAAAATCATTCATCCATGGACCATTAGATAAAGTTACTGTAAATAAGTTTTGCCTGTCTTATTTATGAGTGAAAACGAAGTAATTTTTTCTGCACATGCATATACAAAAAATATATACTTTCAAAAGTCAGTGCACCAAAGCGTTCTGCCAGGCTTCAAAGTAAGTAAATAAAATGAAAACTCCCAAATATTAGGCATGATTATGTACCTATTTCACGCTTTCTTGACAGGTATCTTCTTTGTTAAATAAAAGTCAAGCTAAAAGGTGAATTGAAATGAGGTTGGGGAACTTTACTGTAAACAAAATGAAATAAAAAGGTGATTTTCAAAAATTCAAGATTACTGCTTCAGACTCTGATATATTAAATGCACTTGATGATCTCTTATTTAGAGTATGAGGGTTTAATAATTTTAAAGGCATTTTTCTACCAGGAAAAGCTTTTATGCAGTTTGAACTTCTAAAGTAAACACAAACCAGTGTTAATAAAAGCAAATCAATAATTTTTGTTAAATTTTAATAATCTTGAAAACCACAAATTAAACCATGAGCAGCTCGAGTTGAGATGTCAGTTAGCTGTGTTTCTATGACAACCTAGAGGAATAGTACAAGTCCTGACTTGCAGCAAAGCTAAGATATAAACAGACTGAAATTTACCCCATACAAGAGACCTCACAGCTTTCCTTTTTTACGGGGAAAAAATAATCTAAAAATCAATTGCTGAACTTATATGTATTTTTACTAACTGTATGAAACTATTAAATAACCCTCTTATAGGATTCTAAAAATTTGAAAATAAATTTTGTAACACTGCTTTTTGTACTACCACTTAATACTACTTAAATATTTAATGCCTAAAATTATCTGAAATAACAATATTAAATTTTGAGATTCGTGACAAATGTTTTAAGAGAAAAATAAATATTTACTGCACAAAATGTGTAAAGCACATTTTGTAAAGCACACACGGCAGCCTTAAATTCTGAAAAGTAAGGAGACCCACACAGCTGTCAGGAAGAAGGTACCTTTGTGATGTTGTAAAATAAATAATGACCATTTTTCAACAACTGGAATGCTAACTTGAAACTCATACTCCATTTGATTTTCCACTTGCCTTTTAAAGCTAAAACTAGCAGTCATATTGCTAAAATATGCTGCAAAGAACAGGCATCCATAAACATTGCCCATTGAAAGCACATTTCCAACTGAATGAAATACTCTCATTAGCTCCTAAGACTAATACAAACTCCTTCCTACTGAGACCTCTTCCAGTTGTAATTGCTGAACACTCCTGAACTGAAAACAAATTCCTTCTCATTCACCAAGCACCTATGCAATACCAACTCTTCTTCTGGAACAGATTTACAAAACTAACAAGAACTACAAATGTGCAACAAGCTTTCAACAGGCCAGTGCCACTGCGCGGGATTCTCACCATCCTTTCTGAACTCAGGTTCACAACCTTCTTCAGATATTCTGCCCCATCTTTCCTAGTTTTCCTAGCCTACAGGAACTGCTGTGCTAGAACCATGAGTAGGAAAAAAGAAAAAAAAAAAAAATCTGAAATCAGTCCTTGTGAAGAAAATTTCCAGAAGGAACCTGTGGGCAGTTCCCAGAATTATTCCATTAGCCCACATTTGCTCCTGCAGCAGAGCATCTGCCCACAGAACAGTCTGTCTGTCATGTGAACTACATGCTCTATTGATTACAGATACTCTAATTATGTTACAGGTACTGACAGAAAAAGTGTCATCCTTCCCACTCAATTTGCCCTCAAAGTTTTTCAAAGCCTTTATGGAAATAAACATTGCATACATTATAAGCGTCCTTCCCCTTTGCTGCGCATCTTCTGTCCAGTCCCAGACAGAATTGCAATTACTCTAAATGTCCATTCCAGCCTGTTTATGCCTGCAAGTTGTGATCCTCCAAAGCATTTAAACTCCAATACAAAGACAGCTGAAGTCCATCACTGAAGCAATTTCAAAAAGGACACACACCCTACTCCAACAAGGCCCTAGTGTCATAGGCCTTCTTAAAAGGCTATGTCTGGAAAAAAAATAACAAAATAAACAAAAACCCTACAGTTAATTTTCTTTTTTTACATGCCTTCTTTCAAGCTTACATTGATTTTAGAGATTATAAGAAAAATAGTCAATTTCCTAATTTCCTCCTGGCCAGGGCAGGGTAAATTTTTGCAGTAGCGAGGGGAGGCATGGCTAAGACACAGTGAAGTGATGTGCGAAATACATAAATAGACTCCACAACCTGGGGTAGTTATGAAGTGGGTATGTATTGTCAGGGTCTGACACAAGCGAGTTACCTCTCCAAAAACTTGTGCCCCGAGTCTCAGTCTGACCCACACTTTTATTCACAAAGGTGTTCCATATGCAGTACATCACACAACTTTGCTAGCATATTCAACCCCTGGCCCCGCCTGTCCTCGCCTCTCATGCTAAATAGGTCCACGCCCTTCTAGGCATGCGTGGTTTGCCATGGTGGTCCTGTGGGTGGGTCTCTGGTGGTCTTGAGGCTGAAGATTGTGGTCTTCTTCATGGTTGAACTTTTGAACTTTTCTCCTTTGCGCATGCACTTGTGGTCTTTTGGTGCTTATCTGAGTCCGTCTGTCAGTCTTGATGGGCTTGGAGACAGAGGAGCCCCTTTATCTGGGTTCTTTGCATCTTCAGTCCCCTCCGGCATTGTTCTTTATGCAAGAAGCTTCAGAAATTTGCATCTTCTTATGCCCTTTTGTACCATGGCAGAGGTTTCTTAAGTAAAAGGTTAAAATTCAACACATAATTTTACAAGATAAAATTTAAATGCTTAATTAATTTTGTTAACCCAAGT